ATGTACGTGTCACGTGTCAGCATTCGGGTTCGTGGCGCCTATCTGGTTCTCTTCAGGGCCCATGTCTTGCTGGGGCGGGATCTTATGGTCACGAACGACAACAGCAAGAAGATGAGAAAAGGAGTGGTTCAGCAAGCAAGAAGTGGGATCGGGATTTGGCGTGGGATAGATGAAAGGCACTTGTACAAAGAATCCAGAGGTCACGCAAGAAGTATGAGAGATACCACGTGAAGTGTTTCGGCGCACCCGCAAGGCGCTGCCGCCTATCAACAGCAAGCCGCAATTCCTGCGTTTATCTCCTAAGAAGCCATGGAGCTCCTCTGAATGGAGACCTGCACCTCAACAGAGCTAGAGGTCCCGTCAGGATTCTCTTGGGGTTTGTAGGGGCAATATTGCGAATCTTCAGGAATGAGGGATTAGGGCACTGGGGAGTTTTTTGCAGGGCATACATGCGAGTTTCAATTTTCAGTCAGGAACAGACCATCACCGCCGCCGCCGCTGCCGCTGCAGCAGAAAAGCAACTGTCACTGCTAGCCTTGCTCAGCAGCTGAGGCTTCGCCACCTGATGGCCACAGCAGGCAGAGCCCCATAGCTCCACCCGTGGATTCTGAATCCAGCGACGAGGGTGCGCCTCGAACGCACAGTATGGCATAATTACACTACACGGCAGCGGCATCTACAAGAAGAGTTTGTATTATATGGCCAGCATAATCCAGAAAAAGCAGCAATGCCAAGGCTCCGCGAAGGAAGATCGGAGTCGTTCATCATCGCCTGACTTCGAAGTCGGCTATCTCAGATGACTCTCAGGACCCCAGATTGCATCTGAGCTGGCTTGCCTAAGTGGTTTCCCTTGGTCTTAATGCTGAAGGTGTTGACCCATTCACATTAGCAATAAAGAAGAGACTGGCAGCGTCAGACAAGATGCATGTAGCTCTTTGGATCCAGGTAGTAAGTAGTGGCTGGACCAGGAGCAGCCGGAGTAGCGCAGATAGCACTTTCAGCAGAGCCGCGGTAAGTCATTGGTCATCAGCAGCCATTCCCGTTGCAGAAATTTTGCAGGCAACGCTGCCGTCCGTGGACTCGCCAAACATGGAGCTTAAGACGCCCAAAGCCAGAGCAGAAGTCCAGAGAGGTGCGGAATTCATAGCAGACACCCCCACCATGCATTTTAATAAGCATATGGGCTCTGTGTACCGGTTGAAGGCCTGTCTCTAGAGAGCACAGGAGTCTTGACAAATCCCATGGCATTGCCCACTTCTAGGTGTTGCGCGGCCTGCTCCAGTGCTGGATGCGCAGTTGCCACCGCCACCCCCGGAGCCCTGCAGTTGGGTTTTCAGAAAACGCCTACTCCAGAGCTTGTGGATGACAAAGCGCATGAGAGTTTCAGCGAGTTCGGGTTCTCTGTTTGTAGATCCTTGCATGAAGGCTCTTTAGTAGACAAACAGGGAAAGGCTTCCCGTTCTTCGAAGGCACTGTTCGCCAGGCTGACGGAAGACTTGAGAGGGTGCGCAAAATCAAAGCGACAGAAGCTGTCACACGCCCATTCTAGTCAATCAACCTGCTAAAGCCTGTTACTATGCCATCGCAAGGTTTTTTATCGCAATTCGCCGTGTTACAGGCATATTTTTCATGCTCACTCAATTTTCACACCAAAAGCAAGGAGATGGGTGTGGAGACTCCGCACGTCTCTCCGCAGATGCTGCTTACAGCCAGCGTGAGCGTCCAAGAAATGCACACATTTGGATTTCAGTGTAGGTGGGCTTCCCGGCGAGAGGGCGCAAGATTTCTTTGCACATGTGTCCGGACAGGCAGAGTCTGGGCAGAGCACGCGAGTCCAATGAGTATGAGCTTACCCGAAAGTCTTTTAGATCCGTTTGGACAATGGCTCAACTTTAGTGATGTGCAGTATGGTGGATCAGACAAATTGTAAACCTTTTGTGACAACAGATCCTGCCATCTTCGCACCATCCCTGTACGGTCTGTTTCTGAACCTTAGATATTACCTATACCCTACAGTACTTGGTTGAATCTTGTATGAGCACAGTCCAGCATATTAGCCAGTCCTATGTATAAATCAGAACCATAGATGAGGAGGTCATATATCCATATATACGTGTGTTTATGTATACATATCTATATGTATGCCTTCGCGCATGTCCTCTGTAGATCATTCTGTAAATCAATCATATGCGGAACACACCCTCTTTACAGTTTCTGTAATTTGTGTTCTAGACGCGAACGCACACAAAGACTTGCAATACATCATTTACATACATACATAAACAATGTTACAGCGCATTCCGTTCCTACATGCATAGATACGTCTATCCTCCTTACATATGACACGAAGCCCTCAACCCTAACACTGCAACCCGGTCTGATATATCAAAAAAATGAATAAGTATGTCTACATATGTATGTATATGTGTAAAAAGGTAATACATGTATATATATATATGGAATATGGATATATATATATATATGAGTAATTTATGGGAATATACATATATATTTGCGTGTATGCAATTTGGTGGGGAAGTGCTCGGGCTGAGGGCGGTCTCTGCCATCTTCAGCTGCCCAACAAGCCCGAGGCGTTGGGGCTTTTAAAAGGGGGGTTGAAGGGTATGTCTAGGGATGATATAGAGACTGTATAGACTGAGTGTCATTCGCCGCTAACTCATTCATTCGTTTGTTTGTTCGTTTGCTCGTTCATTCATTCCTTCATTCATTCATTCATTCATTCACTCACTCACTCACTCACTCACACACGCACACACGCACACACCCGAGCGTCTTACGCTGCCGGCAGATCCATCAACATGCTAAGCCAAGGAATAGCGAGAGAGGCAATCAAGTGAAGTTCTCAAGATGAGGTTCAATTGTGGCCTCTCTCTCTCTCAAATGAGGGGCTGTACCCATCTCTTGGGAAACCCCTTGCCTCTACGCCGCCTGTCAACTTCTTGTCTGTCAAGCTCACGCACCTCTTGGATGGGTAGCGAGGGTCCCATCGACTCCAACATCAAGAAAAACCACGGGCTGAACTTCTTGAGGCGAGCAAGATGGCGAGACCCGGTATGAAAGCAAGTCAGATGAGAAACAGGTGGCTCTGATTCAGAGGGAGATGGGTGTCAAACCCCGTTTCCCTTGAGCTTTGAACTGCACATGCACGGAATCATGTCCCTGAAGCATGTTATGATCTCGCAAGTGAGCCAAGACTTGCAAGCCATACCGCCAGCCTCTTTGCACCCAAGAAGCAAGTTGCAAAGGATTGCTCCACAAGTCATCGGCAACGCCCATATCATCCCCATCACCTGCAACGGCCAAGGATAGCAACTGAAGGAGCCAAACCCAACCCTTCCAAACTCATCTGCGCCAGCATCTCTTGGCACCAAAGTTGGCTTCGATAATTTCATGTACAATCCTATACGACTTGCTCAATAACTGTGCAAACAAGCGAAGCACCTCCACCCTCAAGATATTTAGCCCGAGCGCTTCTAACAAATCCCCATGCCCAAAATACTGACAAGCAAGGCCCCGTACCGTCAAAAAATGCCAGCTTGCCAAGCCAACTGTTCTGCAATGAGCATACCCTACCAAGCGGCAACATTAACAAGGGCCTGCGACTACACAAGTAATCCGAAGTTTCAGTGCACACGGCATGTCAGGGTCCCAAGAAACCAGTTTCTTCAGTGGCTTGATTGAAGGGCCTGCATGCCCAAGCCCTTTTCACATGTCTGGGGTTTCAAGGCTTAGGGCTGACGCTTAATGTGCTTTTGATGATAGTTCAGGTGAGTCACATTGCTGATAAAAAGGTGTGCGAGGGACTTTCTGGGCGTTTCAGGACTTTGCCTTTGAATTGTTTGGTCCTCGTTTGGTGTTGGGACAAAATTTCTGAGCTCTCAGTTGTTTAAATGATTTATCATGATGAGAATACAGCGAAGTATAAGTTGATAAAGCAAATCATTAGATACAGGATCAAGCTCTGAACTCTCAAGCGTATTAGGGTCTTGGCTACTTGCAAGCCCTACAAGCAGCAGCTTGCAGCAACTATCACACCATGGGCACGACCTCACTCGTTGTTGCATCAATCTACGTCTGGTACACTTGCCAAACAGGCCTCCTCTTGTGTGTGGGGAGCGCAGGAAGGCGGCAGCCAAAGCGAAAGAAGCGCAGGCGCTGGCGAGAAGCCTTCCGAGGCCCGGGCCTAGGGGACATTTATTGCTGCACAGCAGAGACCGCGCACGGTCAACTAAGAAAAACAATTTTTGAAAAGCGCAATGCAAGTGGGTGTGCGATGTGTAGCGTCTCGTGCTAGCAGCCTCTCAGCCAAGCCCGCTCAAATACGATCAAATGCATATGGATGGCGAAGACGTGAAGAAACCAAGGACCAGACGGGCGAGAAAGATACCAAAATGGCTTCCGTCCAGGGCTCGCTGAGTCGCTCTGCCAGCTTCAGCAGTACATCTAACGAAGCTTCTTGGCATCCAATTACCCCCTGCCCCTCGTAGGAGACGAAGGGATGAAGGCGACTCCCAATGGGCTCAGACTACATCAACAGTGCCATTCGTTCTCAGGGTTTAGTTCTTGGTGTCGCAGCTTCGCAGTTGGGCTTGTGGGCCAATCTGAAGATCTGTTTTGTACCATTTGCTTCAAATGACACTTGTATGCACAGGAGGTCGTGGACAAGAAAGGAAGCCGCTTTCCAGATTTTAGCTGTTTTTTTTGCTGGGCATGCCCGAGACGGACAGCTTGACCTGGACTGCGCCCTAGACACCAAGACTTTTAATCCCTCAACTGCAGATCGCGAGGCGCAAAAATCAGACGCACGAGCGAAAGCTCAATTCCATCGTTTTTCGAGAAAGAGGCCGCCTCCAGTCGCCTGTGGCAGTTTTTGGAGGACGCCTGCAATCAAAGTGTCTTTGCCTTGCAACAGAAACAGCTGCAAGAGTTGTAGTGGTAGCAGTAGACATGTTCTAGTGGCGCAAGTAGTCCAGTAGGAGGACGCCAGCAACAGAAGTAGCGGCAGCAGCCGTACTAGGTGAGTCGCAGTATTCGTCTGAGCAGTAGGCGGAGGTAGTGGGTCGTAGGTAGTAGGTGGTGCTGTTTGTCGTGGTAGCAATACTAGTTGTAGCAGAAGGCGTTGTAGTAGTAGTAGCAGTAGCAGTTGCAGTTGCAGTTGCAGTAGTAGTCGCAGCGGTAGTAGTAGTAGTAGTAGTAGTAGTTGTACTGGTTTGATTGGCTGAGCCCAGCCAAGTCAAGGCTCAGACCTGGCCTTGCAGCTTCCATGCCATGTGAGCTATAGACAAAACTCCTAGTATCCCCCCTAATAACCGCTATAGTAGGCCCCTATATAATCCCCTATATAACCCCCTTTAAGGAGTTTAGACTATGGCTCATGTGAAAAGGGATTCCAACAGTTTGGGGTCTGTTGTCAGGAGCCTTGTCGGGGATTCCTTGAGTCCTCTGGCTGTCCGAGCAAGCTATATCGTAAAGGCGTCTTTTGATGCCTTTGTTGCGGTGATGGGCTGGTGATCATTTCTCCATGGAATTGCCAGGATCATGGTTAATGCCAGCGAGCTGCACTGTCTAATCATGACATATCATGACGCAAGTGTCAGTGATAGAGCTGCCCTGATGCTAAGCATCTAAGCCTGGGCAAGAAGAAATGGAATCACTACCTTGAAGTCACCAGATGAATCCTGGAAGGGAGTGCAGCATGGATGAGCGGGTTTAGGGCTTAGTTGCAGCGGGATGTGCAAACATGCTCGGCCAGGACCCCGACTCTAGCAGTGCAGCTTTCTACTTCGCCACGACTTGGAACTATTTCATAACCTTTTCCATTGTGGTGTCGATCCTTCAGGGAGGACACAGCCCAATGCTATCTGCAACCGCAGAAGGTCTCATCCAGATCGGAGTGGAGGCGCAGCTGAGGAGCCTTCTGGTAAGAATCATGCGGGGCTGCAAATGGTTCTTTTGTAGGGCAGGCTCTCATTGTTGGTTTCCTGCGTACTTGCCTAGTGTGCTTCAGCTGGCTACAAGATGCTGTCCACTATCTGCGCTGTTGTCTTCTTGCTCGGCCCGAAGGTGACCTTGATAGTGGAGTTTGTGGCACATTTCTATGCCAGCAACACCTGTATTGCTTGCACCCCAGTCCGTCTTTCTGTGCAAATGCACGGTGCGGAAATGCTTAGATTAAGCATTTGCCGTGGCTTGGATGAGGCCTTTATCAAGAGCCCGTACAACATGATTGACTTTTGTGCGCTGCTTCCTCTGGCTGTTCGATGCTATTCTGGTACGGAGATACCCACACTGGCCGAAAATTTGTGGGTACACTACGCACTCACATGCTTTGTACCCCTGATCCGTTTGCTGAAGCTTGTTCGACGCTTTCAGAAGCTACAGCTGCTTCTGTTCCGTGGCAGGAACAGCATGCTACTTTTTTGGACAAGAGAAACCTTAAGGGTAAGCATGGCAAGCAACTCTTGCACCCACTGATGCTGCAAGAGTGTACCCTTACCGACATTGGGGGTATGAGTTGATTACAGGAGGATACCGCCCTTCGGGATTATGTACAGTGTTTGTGAGAAATTTTCAAATAGTCACGTCACAACCGTGTTTGACGCCTACTAGGGCCGGGCCCTTTTTTCGATATGAGGCATGTTCTTACAACAGTCATTGATGCGCTGAAGCTCTTACTCTTCCTGGTCAGCATTATTGCCGCATGGCCGACACAGTGTGAGCATTGCACGTGCCAGGTGCGCTGTCTTGCGGTTGTTGAGAGCCGGTTCATCTTGCACAAAGGTCCTCATTTTTGCAGTTGCCTTGTACATGACGGACACCCCGGATAACATTGATTCGTTGCCTTTGGCAATCTGGATGTGCACAGTCACCGTGACCACAGTGGGCTATGGTGCTTTCCTCAGTGTAGCAATTTTCACAGCCAGATACACGCATTGTCCGCTGCCAAACGCTGATTTGGCTTTCAGACGCGGGGTGTCAGCCAACTAGACCCAGAATTTTGAGAAGTTCGCAAATGAGGTGATGTGACTCCGTCCACCTGGCCAGCCAAAGGTGTTGCAGGAATGCTATGCTTCATAAGTGTGCTTTTCATGGCAATGCCAATTTCAGTCCTCAGCTCAGCTCAGTGTCTTTTGCCAAGTTTCATGGGACCTGAAGTGGTAGAGCCCTCATGTAAAACAGGATGGAGCCGTTTGCACAGGAAATGCCTTAGTGGGAGTTTCCATGTATATATGGATCTCAGTATAGCATACCACTTCATATAGGAACTCCAGATAAGGCGCCTCCGATTGTTGGAAACCTCTTAATAGGAACCAATTCCTTAGCAGAAGAAAGCGTGACAACGATGATATGGAACATCTTTTGTTGACAAGGTTGTCGGAAATGCGATGTCGCAGACCTGGTCCGATCGACACAGAATTCTCCTCGTGACCAGAGCCCGGCAACGGCTGAAGAATTGGGGAGTCTCTGCTAGCAGCTCGGCACAGGGAGCTCGTGCTTTCAATAGATGAACTACAGAAAGTTCAGGTGTCATCACCTTGGTATCCCACTAATGGTTGGGAGCGGCCAGGCACATGCCCACATATTTGTCTACGCGACTAGACGCATGCCTACATTCAATGCTAAGTAGCCGTCAAGATAGAGCCCAGGGATGGCACAAGGTTGGTCATGTCTCCTTTGTGGCTTAAAGTCATGCTCCAAAGAGTCCAAACTGCTTCAAGTGATTAAATAGAGGAGTATTACACGGGGTATGAAGGGGGATACTAGGAGTTTAGACTATGACCAATGAGGTTGCATCGTTCTCTCAACATGAGCCCCGAGTTGTCATATCAATCCTGAACTTAGCAAGATCAGAGCCGGTGGATCCAGATTGCAGCATAAGCCATACCGTAAGTCAGAGTTGCTGCTCAGCGATGTAGTGAAGACATATTGTGTAGCGAATCTCGGGACACAGTTCGATCAAGTTTACAATGAGACTGCAATTGGGTTGAGAATTGCGATGTTACTTGGACACCTGTCAACATGTTGCTTGAGATTTGCTTAGCTGAGTGCCTGGCTTGCACGTGGAAGTTGCTGAGGCGACATGCCCAGGCTGTTCAAAAAGTTTGATCAAGATGGCAATGGAGAACTTGGCATGGATGAGTTTTGTGACGCTCGGCTTGGGGTCAGCTTGCGTGTCAGCTCATAATGCATGTTGTGCGCAAAGCGCCTCAGACTCAGACACCCCGCAATTTGCATACTCTCTCACGGCGTCCAAGCCTGCATGCTTGTGGCACCAACAGATGAGTGAAGTCGCAATATTCAGCTGCAAGCCTTTACGCAAGGGCTCTCATTTTTGGGGGGAGCAGCTGGGCACCAGGACTTGATTGCGCGAATGAAAGTTGGAATGAAGCCATCAGAGGCTGGCCGCTCAGCACGACTGTCGCTCAAGCCTTGCAAAGTGAAGCATTCTAGATAAGAAGGTTGGGTCCTTATGAAGTCAGGCCTTGCTGAGATAGAGCCTCAGACCCTTCTGTTTTCTTGCCTGCGATAGCTTGTGGCTTACATTTTTTCACATTAGGCCTCCGACCTCTTCGTGGCGTTCGATACCGATGGTTCGGGAGGGATCGACGAACGTGAGTTTATGAAAGCACTGTTTCCGCTGGATTATCGGCGAATGTACAGACGGGCTTCTGGCATGACCTTTGGAGCTTAAACCTTGAGCTTCATAGGCTTCGCTTGAGGCTTCGCTCCTGGTTTTCCGTGTGCAATCTAAGCACCACATAGGTGAAGGCAACTAGCTGTTTCGTAGAACTGTGAGTCTGAAAGAGATCCTGGCTTCAGATGGGCATAGCCAAAACCATGGCCTTGATATACCCCCCGACATCCCCCAAGAATCGGAATCTCATGCTAGGGACCCTGACAACGGACCATTATACTGACACTTGCCCAAATTTGAACAAATTCAGACTCACCACCCACCAAGGGCGGGCAGGGCCAGTGGTCGAGAAGTTCAGACCTGCTGTTACACCAGTCACCAAACTCGGATTGTTTTACTTTGTTTAGAAGTGAAGTGGCTGCTGCTAGGCTAGGTATGTCAATCATGCCAAGGATGTTGACTGTCTGAAATGGGGATTAAATTAGGGGTACTTCATTAGAATTTTCCACAATAAGGTTAGAGTCTATATCGGCGTCCCCTATTTAGGGAAACCACAAAGTTTACTGCCAAGAATAATCCTTACATGGATAGCCATCATTGGGTGATAGATTGGCCACCGTAACGTTGTTGTTTGATTTCAGGCTAGTGCGTGAAAACCGGGCCAAGCACTTTTAGACGTAGTTCTCATCCTCATGACAGCCTGTCCGAAGGTTGAGCCTAAGCAAGCAAGGCTCTCATAGTGTCCTGTGAGCTTTTTGGCAGAGCTGATCAAGGGGGCTACCAGTCGCTAGCAGAAAAGTCTAGGCCGTGCTTGCGCCTATCAGTTGAATAATTGGCTTCTGATGCGATGATAAGAATTGCAGGAATGATTCTGTGCGTTGCATCCATGCTGCCATATGTTTTGGTGAGATCTTGGATGCTGGTCCTTTGAGCCCCTCAGAGTGCCTTTTCATGTACGTTGGTTTGAAGTGTCAGAAGTTTCACTACAGAAATGCGCCCTTGCCGAATTCCAGAGCTGCTCCAAGCAAATGGTTTATAAGTCCAGGTGGATTACTCACCGAGAATGACGTCCAATAGCTCTTTGAGTTCTTGAGAACTGGTATAGGTAGAGGTGTGTGGACAGGAAGCAGGCACAGGGCGCTCGCAGCAAATTGGCCATGTCTCAAAGTGAAATGTTCTTTGTGCCCATTGCAGTACTAGGATCACAAAATGCAACAGTTCCCAATGTTTGAGACATGCCCGGATGGCACGGGTCCGGTTTTAAGATGCATAAGCCAACTGGCGAGTGCGTCTCATCCTCCCGGCGCACCCTAAGGGAAGCCAGGAAAGCCAGATTGCCAAAAGAAGCACCGAAGCCTTTTGCCATTCCTGCGTGTATTTGTGAAGCTGAGACCGGGCTGAATCCTACGCAGTCAGCTAGAACTGAGCACCGTATTGGTAGTATTCCCTCTTTGGTTGTAGTGGATGCTACGTACCAACTCCAGAAGTCTAAATATGCAGTTTCCGAGAAGAGCGAGGCTCAATGTAAGCAGGGAAATGCCCGCAAGGGTAACCCACGCCTCTTTAGCAGCAAGATCACATGATAATCTCCACTCCATATTTGTATGGAGTTGGTTGCTTCCTGTCTGTGCTCATGCTGCCAACTTAAGACTTGAGCCTGGGTCTGGGGGAGCCAGTCCTCTATCCTCATGCGGGGGGCTGTCAAAATTATGGTCCCCTTTTGGGTACCCTAAATATTAGGTGCCGTAGTATAATAGGGATCCAAAAAGGGACCATAATTTTGACAACCACCCCTGTACGCTTCAGTACATGCAGTTGGTTGGGTTCGGGGCGGAGTTGGATTAATTAAGGCGTTCCAAAGAAAGATCTTCTGAAGAGCCAACGCCGCCATAATGGACTGGTCCCTATACTTCTTATTCTTGCTACATAAAACTGACTGGGCTGCTGTATAGGAATTTAATTAAGACACCATGACATGGGTATGATATATAATCATTAATAGGGCTTCCCAAATATAGTAGTTTCCCTAAATGGGGGGGACCCGATTTAGACCCTAGAATGTTATAATCTTGAAATGGTACCCGGTATTTTCGGAAACCCCCCATATGGTACAGCAACTAATGTTATTTACCTTAATTAAAGAATAGACCCTAAACCTTGTATATCCATAGTATTAAAACCCTATATAATCATATTCTTAATATTACCCTATATACCCATATCAATATAACTCTATATAGTCATATTCTACCTACCCTATATACCCATAATAATACAACCCTATATAGTCATATTCTTAGTACTACCCTATGTACCCAGATTATGGTAATCTAAATTAAGTCCCTTAACAACTTAACAGCCACTTTATAACCCTATATAGTCATATTCTTATTACCCTATATACCCATATCATGGTAATCTGAATTAAGTTCCTACCCTAAACCCTAAACCCTAAACTTAACAGAAACACCCAGTAGGAGCACAGCCAGAGCTCACCTTGCACGTGAAGAAGGCCTGCATAGAAATGGGCTACAGTCTAATAAACTCCTTAAAGAGGGGGGTTATGTAGGGTTTAGGATTTAGGGTATAGGGTTTAGGATTTAGGGTTTAGGCTTTAGGATTTAGGGTTTAGCGTTTAGGGTTTAAACTCCATCAAAGGGGATTATATCGGGGACTACTATAGGGGTTCTTAAGGCGGATGGTAGGAGTTTAGACTATAGCTCAAATGGGGGTTTCATGGAATTAGGGGCAGCCTTACAGGGGGTTTTCTAGGGGATAGGGTTCAGGGTTTCACGGAATTAGGGGCAGCCTTACAGGGGTTATATAGGGGTATAGGGTTTAGGGTTTCCCAAAATTACGGGTAACATTTTGGGGGTCCCAAAATATTAGGAGTATAGCGTTTTGTGGTCTACATTGGGGTCCCCCTATTCTACTAAATTTTCAGCCGAGCAGGGAGTTGAATATATGCATCGGCCCTAACTCTAGTCTTTGAAGATATTATTGGGGGGCTATAAAGGGTTTAGGAATACAAGAATGGAAAAGAACATGTAAATTACTACGGTTTAATTTGTGTTCCGTTGACCTTGGATGCGTGATACTTGAGTCATTGGCCATTGATTTTGATGATACATCCGTCCTGAGGTCTTAGCCACGGCTGAAAGGTCTTGCACTGTAACTCAGATGTGCGTCACGTATGCTCATCCCCCACAATCAATTCAAAGACCCGGCAACCTTTAAACTTTAAAATGGAGCCCGGAGCCCCAAGCAAAGTCCAACCAAGCTAGGCCTCCAAACCTCTCCCGCTTCTCAACCCAACCTTATGCACACCAGTTTGCTTTGCCCCTTCCACTTCCCTTCCACCTTGCAAGCAACGTGCTAAACACCTCTGCCCGGAGAAGCATCATGCAAATGAAAAGGCAGTGGCTGGCGATGCTGCGGCTTCCTTTGAGCTGACTCTGGGATCGGCAGCAGTAAAGCTTTCGGACTTTTTTACGGGTTCAGGAGTTGGGCATTGGGGCTTAAGAGAATGCTGGCTGTCAGTGGCTTCTTCGTGGAGCTAAGCAGCTCAGCCACATGTCTAGAATTCCTGCTATTGTGCTATGCTTTGGTTTGCCTGTTTCTGTTTTCGCGCTTTCTCTCGTACCCTTAGCAGCAGAGCAGCGCATGGAGTGATGTGGGGCGACTAGCTCTCACTGAGTACGTGTGGAGGTTAGCCTGGATGCTTGCCCGCGTGGAGGAAAACTCGAAACCTTACATCCAAAACTCAAAGCTCCAAACCTTACACGTGCTGCCCATTGGCATGCAAGTGGCGCACTTGAAGCCAAACATCCTAAACACCCCTAGCCCGAAAGCCTACATCCAACGGCCTACATTCCAAGTTTTCATTGCTGGGATCCAAGGACACTTTCGCCTAGCGCCACTGTGGGAGAGCTTGCCGTCCAGCTAGCCTCGGCCTCAGCAGGATGTCATTCTGCTCATAGGCTCCTGGTACTAGTGGCAGCAGCAGCAGCAGGAGTAGTAGTAGTCGTAGTGGTAGTAGTGGTGGTGGTGGTGGTAGTAGTAGTAGTAGTAGGAGGAGGCACCCCCGCCTTCCAACTCTGTTCCTCAGCTTGCGCACGCTGAAACCATGTAAAACTGCAGAAATCTTCACTTCTGTGCATGAAGCATAGGGCGTGGGGGTTGGGATGGGCGAAAGCCATTGTAACGTCCACTCGAAGTGCGCACATGCAAAAAAAAGAGTTATTGGTAATTACCATCGATGTTTTTTAGGTGCGTGAGGTACTTTCCACCACATATGTCCACCTTCCGTAATTCAAGCGATGGTGGAGGGGCTGACTGGTTAAGATCTTCAGACCGGGGTTGGGTAGAGTGCTTTGAGCTAGTGTCCAGTCCTGGGCGGCACACATTGATAGAGCTAGCATGAGCCCAGCTTATGCATTCGGTTGGTGCTCGGACCGAGCGCCCAGACAGCAACCTGCAAAAAAGGGTTGGGCAGAAGGGCTCAGCAGCTCCAGACTCATTAAGATCCAAGAACCAATCAAGTGATTGTACTTACTTTGTCATTTAGGGCTTCGTGCAGCAGTATAGCCACTTAGACAAGAGAGACACGCCTGGCTAAACACCTTATGATTCCATTCACTCGTACCGCGGGCCAGCAAGCCTGGGCGGCCTGCTGTAGACGGCATGCGACAGGAAGAAACACCTCGACAGCAGGGAGCATGGCTACTGCCATTGGCCGTTGATCGGAGAATCTCCAGCACAACTGCCGTAGCCCAACGACGGCACCTTTGTAAGGCTTTGTGCTCGGACCAGCAACAAGTTGCGCATTGAGGGGCCCCACGAAAGGCACAACATTTCATGAATTCTGAATGCAGTCAGGGGCCGGGGAGGCTGTCGGCAAAGCTACGAGCCCCTTTAAGGAGTTCAGACTCTAGACCCAATCCCTGAACACTCAATCCTGAACCTTCAACCTAAGACCCTATATAACCCCCCTCTTTAAGGAGTTTAGACTATAGCTCATATAACCCTGAAGCCTAAAAGGTAGATTCCGTTTTCTT